TTGCTGAAAATTTTTGTCAGTTTTAGTAAAAAGTGATATTTTCGACTTCTTGTTAAAAATTGCAAGTCTGTTTGCTTTGATATTATAAATATATACGTACTACAGGTAGACCTCTCAGAATTCGAGATGATTTAGTTCTTCAATTATGATGAATATTTTTGATAAAAAGTTATATTTTCGAATTTTTGTTAAAAACAGCAAGTCGGATTACATATTGTTCATTTTCTAATGATATCTTCTGTTCTTCAATTGAAAGTGCATTGATAACAGCGGAGCTATTTCAGCAGACAGGCTGCTAGTTTTTACAAAATATGCATTTTATTACATGATTTGCAGAGAGGAAACACAAGTCAATACCTATAAGTGTTTAGTTAACTTAAATAGTGTAAGATGTACAGTCCAATGCAAGCTGACTTGTCGGCATGGTTACATGAAAATGGGAGAACATGGTTTTATATGGAAATAATCTCCTCCGCAGGCAAGCCTATGGCCACCTGTGGGCTCTCCCAAAAGCCCACTGGCTTACACAGTGGGTGTGGCTGTTTCTGTTTTCAGAGGCACAATCAGTGCCTACATGAATGCTGGGGCTGCATTGTTACATACAGTGAATCAATCAATATTCGATGTAAAGCATTCTCCATAGAATTATTTGCGATGAACACCTGTTTTCTGTATCTGCTCATTCAAGTCCGCTTCTTTCTAAATTTACATGAAAAACTTAACATTCGTTGTCACTGCGTCCATTCGAAGTTCGAGCATAGAACATTTCGTACCTCCTAGACTAGTTGTGTTGAACATGTTTTGAAGAAGGATTTGAAACCGCTCTCCATTATGAAATTTTAGGTACCGATAAGTAGGTACTGATAAAAAAAATTTGGAGCTGAAAGTTCTAAACTTACAAGTCATGAGCACTAACTGCTAATTTTAGTTCATGGCTCAATTTAGCAGTTAACGCAACTTCAAATATAAAGCTCAGTCTAATTGCAGAAAAAGAAAAGTGAATGTTCATGCCTTTTTATCAAAATTCACATAATAAAGGTTTAACCTCACTAAACAAGTTTAGTGAAAGTAAAATGGATAATTAAAAGAAAGTACATCTATAGAGCTTCAAATCTGCAACATTTTCTATCAAGTTCAAAGTAAATTAACTAAAAATTACATATCAATAATATTATTCAAAACCACTTTTTGGTTGAATATCTAATTTTAAATGTTTGTTTCATTTCTTTGAGAGGATGTGTCATTTCACTTGGTGACTTTGGGATATCAACTAGTCGTCGAACCTTGCGTGATTGGAGCAGGAAGAACTGGGCAATGCCGCAGAGACTAGATGTCAACCAATATAACTGTATGGACTGTGAAAAAAATAATGCATTCTCATTAGTTGATCAGTACCATGTAATGTCTAATTCTGATAGTGGTGATTTATAATATGAGCAGCGAGTTGTTTTTTATTCCCTAAATGAACCTTGTCATCTTCTATCACATATTTAGATGCTGGATATGCACATGTGAACACCACCTAGACAGCTGGATATACACACGTGAACAATACCTAGATAGCTGGATATACACACGTAAACAGCACCTAGACATGCACATGTAAACAGCACCTAGACAGTAGGATATACACACGTAAACAGCACCTAGGCAGCTGCTGGATATGCACATGTAAACAGCACCTAGACAGCTGGATATACACACGTAAACAGCACCTATGCAGCTGCTGGATATGCACATGTAAACAGCACCTAGACAGCTGGATATACACACGTAAACAGCACCTAGACATGCACATGTAAACAGTACCTAGACAGCTGGATATACACACGTAAACAGCACCTAGACATGCACATGTAAACAGTACCTAGACAGTAGGATATACACACGTAAACAGCACCTAGGCAGCTGCTGGATATGCACATGTAAACAGCACCTAGACAGCTGGATATACACACGTAAACAGCACCTAGGCAGCTGCTGGATATGCACATGTAAACAGCACCTAGACAGCTGGATATACACACGTAAACAGCACCTAGGCAGCTGCTGGATATACACATGTAAACAGCACCTAGACAGCTGGATATGCACATGTAAACAGCACCTAGACAGTTGGATATGCGCATGTAAACAGCACCTATACAGCTGGATATGCACATGTAAATAGCACCTAGACAGTTGGCTATACACATGTAAACATCACCTAGACAGCTGATTATGCACGTGTAAACAGCACCTAGACAGCTGGATATACACATGTAAACAGT